GCCACAATCCTGAAACCAACAGGACGAGGAGCTTCAAAATTCGGCAAGATCTTGTACTCATAGATGGTGTGCCTTGCAGCATATACGGCTTGAATACTTCAAAGCACCTCCTCGGCTGAGGTGGTACAATGGCGAACTCTTAGTCGAAATCCGCAGAGGCCTAAGGCCTTTGGCATCTTGCGGTGCAGTACTGGCGGACCCCCCCCCCCCCCCTCACCTAACCAGCCTAAGGCGGACCCCCCCCCCCAACCCCCACCCAACCAGCGGATCTCGGCTTTTGATACTTGAGTCGGTCCCTGGTCCAAGCTTTCTCCTGGCCGGGACCCGAACACATCTCCAAGGACACCCTCAATCGGTGGGCGTTGGCACTACGCAGAAACACTCTAGAACTCATGCACAGGCTCTAGTCGCAAACTGCATGTCCGCCCTTTGTGCGTAGCTTGAGACGGGACTCAGAAGCTCGCGCGAACGTGTCAAGCTGTCCTTGGCAAGGCCACAGTTCTGAAATGTCAGACTGTCAGACTGTCGACATTCACCAGGTACGACCCATGCTTCACTCTCCTGAATTCTTTCAGGGCTCTCGCATGTACTTGGCATGCCATCGGTCGTAGCGGCGGAAGAAATCTCCAGGAAGACCGGCAGCCGGCAACCCCCCTGCGTAAACATTCGTGAGGATCTAGAATTGGACATCTCTCTACGACTGACATGAGGCAAGGCATCTCCCAGAGATCCCTGCCTTCGCATCCTACGGAGATGGCATCTGCCAGCAAACCAAGAAACAGCAGGAGCGCAGTGCCAAGCACCCACCATGGCATCGAGAAGACTCACATGTCGTGTAGTCAGCATCGAACATTCAATGTCTGAGACGGCCTTAGGTTATATGTCACCATCTGGCTATATGAGGTATAGAATCCTTATTACAGGCATCCCAAAAAACCAGGTACCCTCGCCAAAAACGAAGACACGACTCAAGACACGTGGATGTTGAGCGATGTCTTCTTTTCTTCTACGACAAAAGAACCAAGTGCTGCGATCGACTACGAGTGCCTGGAGCCCGCACGCCAGTGGCTAACCTTCCCAGAGCCCGAGTCCTCGCGCAGCACGCGCTTCCTCCTGCGCGCACAGCATACTGCAGTATACTTATTATATCTTGTTACCCGATTGCTAGTTTCGATTGGGTTTCGAGCCCTTTGCCCGCTAAGCTGCTGGAGAAGCGGATTGGGCTCGAGAAGCTAGCTTGGCTCAGATCTGCACTCGGCTGTCCTCTGCCATCTGCAGCTTGATGGTTAAGGTGGCAGCCTTCAGTTCCCTGAGTGCGATTCGAGGCGTGCATTTCGCAACTAACAGGTTTGAATCAATCCCGGTGCATCCGAACGTGAGCAGCGCGAAATATGTGAACGTACTGGTACACCATTCCTCTGGCTTTGGACCAAGCATCGCATCATTCAGTTCCTTGGCTGAGTTCCAGGGGCTTCGCGCTCTGATTGTCTTGCACATTCTTGCACGCAACCATGTTTGGGAGCGGAACCACAGCATCCACAGCCACGGGGTTTCTGAGTAGGAGGGCAAGGCGACTCTTGTTCACGTGCAACTGAGGCTCCTTCGATTGCCCCTCGGTGCTTGTTTTCACCTGATGTGAGTCGTCAAATCTCCACACCGCCAGATCCCTTAAGTTACTGTCGAGTCTGGACATTTTATTGGACCACTCCCTCGTCAGCATAGTAGCCCCCTGACGCCGAACTGTGAAGCCGAATTACCCGCAGGCGCAGTTCCTGACGCCGCCCGTGCTGGCGCCAACAGGATGGCTTGGAAAAGGCTTTGCTGGAACAGCTCTCGTGCGAAAGAGTCTTTGGGTTGAATTTGTGCCCCAGGCGATCACTCGGGCACTAATATGCACTAACCCTTCCCACGACAGAGCCCTTAGTAAACGCAGTATCTGATTATTCCACATCTCACGGCCAAAATGCATGTTTGCAGGACTTGGTCAGTGTCTTGCTTAGCGTCTCTTCGAATGAATGACCACGTGTCTTGGAAAGCCATTTTGGGGCCTGACTGAAGCAGCTATTGGATTGGGTTGAGACCACCCCTAGTTTGCCAAGAATCACTCGGCACTATTTTTCTCGCCGTAGTGTGCTTCTTTTCTAATGCGTCCCCATCTGACGACCAAAATGCACGCGTGCATGCAGGACTTGCTCAGTTTTGGGTTGAAAGGACAGCGAAGTTAGACGTCTTCGAAGCAGTTCGTGTTTCGTCTGCACTTGTCCTCGCAATGCGGCTTCGCAGTGCGTCTTCACCTACTAATTCGGCGTCGCAACGCGTCTTCACCTCCTAACTCGGGCTTCGCAATGCATCTGGCCCCCTAAGTCGTTTCGAGATGCATCTTTACCTCCTGATTCGGCTTCGCAATGCGTCTTCGCCTGCAAATGCGTCTTCGGCGCCCAATGCGGCTTCGCAATATGTCTTCGCAATGCGTCTTCAAGCGTCTTCGCAATGAGTCTTCGCAGCGCGTCTTCGCCTGCTAGTTCGGCTTCGGCTTCAGGCCGATTCAACCCCCACCCCCTCGCCCGCAGCAACACATAATATGTACATATATATATATATATACATATAATTATATATGAATATGCAGATATATATACATGCATACTTTCTCATTTATATTCATCTTATTTACATGCAGATGCATTACTATATTATCAGAGCACAAAGACATGACAATGTGGGGAACTGACACCTCAAGCCTTCAGAACGGAAACGGACACCACAAGCCACTCCAATCCAGAAAACGCCCGGTTATCGTGCGGCCTGCAGCAACTCGGCACTACGCTGTTTCAGCTCGAAGCGCAAGGCCTCCCGCTCCTGCGGAGAGCGGCTGTGAGGGTTCTTGTCGCGCTTTTTGCTTTTACCTCGCCCACCTAGCAGTCTCCATCACTTCAGTAGGTAAACTTGGAACGCCCGAAAACCCTCACGCAGCCTTTATGGGTTTAAGGCTTAAGGTTTAACGAACGCCAACCCATGCACAGCTCGGCTTTATTGATCTCCAGCCTGCTCTGCCTGCATCCAGGCAGGCCTCACAGCTTCCAAGATTTGCAATGAATTGTCTGGATTGGCAGGCTCAAGACACTTAAAGCAAGTATAAGCAAAACAAGCGCCGGTGCAGGTACAGCTGTTCACGATTCGAGTGCAGGCGAAGGGCCTCACGTTCTCACGGATGGATGTCAGGACCTTGCCTTGGATAAGATGACAGCAGAAGGCGGTTGCCTCTGGAGAGTCTTGTTGAGAGCAGCTGGGTCTAATACGGGTCTCGTCTTCTCAACTGCCACCGGGCTTCTAACAGCAAGGTTGGGAAGCTTGCGAATATAGAAGTGAACAAGAGCGCGTTTTTGCCTACCGAGGCACTAACAGCAAGGTTGGGAATCAGCAGCTTGGAAAGCAGGGGCTGGCCGCTCACAGGCGAGTTTGGCAATGGAGCTGCCCCAGGCTTCTGAGCATGCTGCATGTGCTGCATGAACCAATCCTCAGTCCCCATCACAGCATCAGCATCCACAAAAAAAGAATCCAAAAGGCACTGCGAAACACACCATAGCCATAGCCATCACAACAACACGCTGCTTGCAAGAGGTCCTGAATGCATCGCCGACAGAATGTGTGACCTCAAATCGCTGTGGAAACCTTCAATCTCTTTGCAAACAGAACAACAATGTCGAAAGTCACAGAACTGCAAGTCTTAGCTGCAGGCCATCAACAGTCATAACCGGGTCCTGAACAACGCCACATGCAATGAATGCAAGTGTCTTCAGGGATCCACGCATGCCACCAGGTGCATGGAAGATAGTCCTCGCAGGTCTTGTGACATAAGGGGCAGCTCAAGCCATTGACCGTCCTGAGGTGTCGCTGCAGCAAGGGATCTGATGCTTCGGCTATCGTGGGCAACGAAAAGCCCGTCAAGATCCTCGCAGCATTGGATCCGATCCCCAGTCGAGATGGCCCAAGATCCCCCCTTCAAAATGATAGGGCGCGCCCATGCGCGCGCCCTGCACTCTGCCTTTGCTAAGTGTCGGCAGCGGCAAAGGCAGAAGTTCTTCCGAGTCTGGCGGGTGGCCGGTGGCCTGACAAGCAAGAGATGCTGAGAAATGCTCGGCCTTCCCAGCGCATGCTGAAAGGCTGCTTGGTCGCTGCCACAAAAGGTCCGACTGCTCAAAAAATTTCAGGCGGATGGATCAGGTGCCGACGGCCTCGGCCTGCACCTGGAAAGAGAAGTCCATGCACTCTGGACGCTCGCGGAACCTCGAAGCAATCCGATTCTTCTAGAGAACGGAAGGCAACCACAAGGCGCAGTCAACGTATTTCCCCGTGATGAAGAAGTGGTCTGGGTTTTAAATGAAGCCACGCATCGACCCACCCGCAACGACAGAAGGAGCTGGGAGGACGGTGTTGCCGAGGCCCTCCCTGGCCTTGCAAACTCAAAGGGGTACAAGCAATGGGCCTTGGCTTGTCAGCATGTGCCGTCCAAGGTTAGACATGGTTAGACATGGTTAGGCCAGTGTTGGACCACCCCGCGCCTCCTGCGCCGGCTTTTCTGCGAAGGCGGGCAGCGGCATCTCACCATGGCGGCGGCCATGGTCGAGGCAGTGACTGCCTGCGTCCCAAACGTGAACCAGCTAGGCAATCCTCCAAATCAGCCGCTAAAGCAAGAGGGGTGGGAGATGTGCAGGCTAGGTACCATCAGCACAAGAAACATTGCTAGCTCAATTCTAGATGGATCTGCCAGCCTGCCTACCGTACTACCAAAGGCGAAGGGACGATGTCGACCGAAGATGCTGTGAGTACTGCCAAGGGCCTAGTACTGAAGGCCTTGTTTGCGTCGTGTTCGATCCACTGTGGCTGATGCAGGTCGCAAACGTGACTTTCGATGCCTAGGGCCTAGCAGGCGCCTGATTCCTGACAGCTTGATCACTGTCGGTCGATTGAGGGCATGAAACATTGCTGTGGCCCCGCGCTTCCTGGCGCACCTGAGAAAAGGCACTGGGTGCACCCATAAACAATAAGCAGCGACCCTGCAATGTACGAACAGCTGAGTAGCCATCCTTCTCAAAAAGGACTTGCCAAAGCAACGCTGGCAATGCTTCTACAACTGAAGCGACAAATTCTGCTTGCACCAAAGACGCCACTCTCGGTCCCGCAAGTACGCCTCACGTTCCTTAGTTCTTCCGGCACAAGGCACCAAAGCAACGACATGCGAAACAAACTACACGTAGGGGCATGAGACTCACGCATCATGGCAGTCGCCACCATAGCAGGCCACCCCAACAAAGAGAAACCACGCGTCTGTCTTGTGCAAGCCCCTGCAAATTGTATAAATTCTCGCTCTGGCGGCCGAGTACTTGCCATCAGCCACCGTGGGGTGGCCAGCTCCAACGAAGTGCTGTCGCAGTTCCCCACGCCGACTCTTCGTTACCTGCGTGGCGCAAAGCTGGGTGCAGCTGCCACTACTGAACCCTGGTCCTGGTGCAGAGGCAAGCCTGGTGCCTAAGTGCGCAGTGCAACGCGTTCGATCTTTTCCATGTCTGCTCCTCTGAGAGCTTCCAGGCGACGCCTCGGATTCGATCCGTCTCCGAGGAAAGTTGTCCACTTTCAAGAACTGCACGCGTCAAGATGGGAAAGGAGCGATGTTGTACGTACATCTATCCCAACGAAGGAACGACTATGCAAGTCGTGTCGCTGCCAGCAGTGTATGCAAACTTGGGGTTCGTTTGGCGCCGCTGTCAAGTCCAACGCCAGGCCCTGGCTCCATGCAAGCAAAGTCATTTCCGTCCCTGCTCGTTCTTTTTAAAAAACCAGTGCCGCTTAGGCCCAACTTCCAGCAACGTGCTTCATTCGTAGCCTCTAATTGCAAGCATTCATATTGGCACTTGTTTTGAAGGGCTCATGTGTAATCAAGAACGCCCACCTCCAAGATCGTCGAACCTGCAGCCCTTGATTTAAGAAACCTTGTTGGTCTTGCTTCTGCTTAAAGACCCCAGAACACGGAATCGAAGAGTGCCTGATGGCAACTGAACTGGTGCTTGATTCCTTGATGACTTGTGTTCCCCTTGGTAGGCTCCTAGGTCCTAGGCTGTGTAGTCGTAGTGGCATGCTACTCTCGCACCCCGTCGTCTTCAAAAAGGCTCAAAGGCTTTGAGGCCTTGCAGCCCGTTGCACAGCGCTGTGGAATTGTCGCCAGGCGGGGCAGGCGGGATGCGGAGGGCGCCACGGGCATGGGCCGCGCCTGGCAACTGCTTAGCGAGCAAAGCTCGTGCTTTTTCAGCCCTGCATTGTTTACAGCTACAGAAACACAGCCGTCAAATAAGTTCTGTGAGCCATGTCAGTACCCTTGGGTCATGCTTGAGGTTCAGGGATAGCGCGCAGCTGAAGTGTCCAAGTTGGTTGCTCGGAGACGCCCATGTCGGAGAAAAACATGGCCTGAACTAAGCTGAAGCCTCTTGGAAAATAGGGCTTTGTGACCCTGCATCACGGCACCCCACAGCCTCCTTGCCCGAGCTGTAGCTGGCCTGCCTGGACGATAGCTGAGGCAAAACAAAGCTTTGGGCTCGCAGGTCAACCCCGCCAACTGTGAGTCAACCCGAGCGCACACCATGGCTTTAACCGCTAATCAACCCAAGAGCCCTGAGACCCCAAGAGCACGCACGCAAGAAGGGCTGAGATATCTCGGTTGCTAAAGCTTTGCATCCTTCTCTCGCTGTAGTCCAAATACAAAAACCTGATAGGAGCCACGAACCCGAATGCACAAAGCAGTCGCCTTTTACGTAAATTTCACGCAATATAAACGAAACGTCGGTGCGCGGGCGGAAAAAACTTTTTTTTCGCACGGCGAAGTTTGTGGCTGCACCCTATCTCCGGAGTAGCAACCCCAGATCGCCAGTGTTACTCAGCAGCAGTGTCAGCGCCGGCGCCGGCGCCCAAACCACCATCAGCCAGCCCGCCACTGCGCGCCGGCCGCTCTTCATCATCGAGCACGTCATGCTGCTCGGCGAAGTGCCACCTCAGCAGCTGGAGTTCCCCCTTAACAGCACGCGTGACGCCACTCGCGGACGCTTCGCGGACGCTTGGCGGACACAACGCAACGACGTGTGGTAACCTCCCAACCCGCAGACCCCCAACTTTAAAACGGGAACCCTTCTGCGGAGCATTCGGGAAAAGGGTCTACTCGAAATGTGAACAACGCCTGGAGCCAGAGTACTTCCACATTTTTACCCCACCCTCGGTGGGGTTTTTAGATTTTAAACTCAACTCTCATCCTCGTCGCCCGGTCTACTCCTCGCCCAACCCCAGTTGCTGGAGTGCCTAACCTGGAGTGCCCAATCCCAGAGTGTCCCTGGAGTGCCCAACCCCAAAGTATCTCTACCCAGAGAGGGTGGGGATGTTCGAAGTGACATAATTTTCTATTAACGGGAAATGAAAGGGAAACTTGCTTTGGGAAAGCCTGAGCAATCCTGAGCCCGACACCCTCAACTCCAACCCTGCCCGCTCTCTTTAAAGTCGATGCCCACTCATTCTGGATGGGGGTTGGAGGCGTTCTGAAACGATGGAGCCCGGGAGCGGGGTTTTGGGAGGTCGGTCTTTTATGTCAGGGTGTGTTGGCTTTGTCAATCTGGAGTCGAAATCACATTACCCCCGATGCTTGGATGCAGTTCCTTTTGAATTTTCATTACGAAACAGGCGCCTTAACAATTTGTAAGGGAGTAGCCCACAAGCTGCCGTCATGCGCTTGGACATATTGTTTCGGTTTCCCCGCAATCAATCCGCAGCCCCCGGGCCAGGCAGCCAAAAAGCCTGGAAAGCTTAGACCTTCAAGCTTCAAGGCTTCAACCCTCGACCCCTACACGCCTGCCCCCAGCCCCGTTCGCGTTTATAGAGCAAAAACCCCGAAATTGCTTGGGGTGGGGCCTAGACACCAAAGCGAGTACAACATCAAGTGCGGCTGCTCCTGCATGGGGCATGCTGGTCGCCAAAATTATCACGTCTGTTGTTGCACGTTGGCTTTGCGTTCTCAATTTGCCGATTTGTTGCGCGCCCTGCTTCAACACAAGGCACCGGTATGGCCGGAGGAGCGCGCAGTTCCATGGCATGCCGACACATGCACTACCCTGTTCCGTGCAATCATGGGCCCTGAATCTGCTTGATTCTGCTTGTTCCTGGCATGGAGCATGATACCCTTAAAAAGGCAGAAAAGCGGCCAAAATATGCCCAAGAATGCACGCGTCCTCAAGGGTCACTCGAGGGAGGGTTCACCCTGGCCCCTGCCTCAGGGCGCGGCCACCAAGGGCTTCGCGCCAGGAGCCGATGCCCAGCGCTGGGTCAAGAGCAGCCTCGGAAAAGCTTCGCAAGTCAGGGCGTTTGCGGATCTTTGCGATGTTGGATGTTGTGGCTTCAAGTTCGCGCAACCGTGTCGACGGGCTACGGTCTGTTTCAGGCGTCCTTGATGGCCTAGGAAGCCTGCTCGACCCAGAGAGGATGAAGGTAGAGGAGCGGCCCCCATGAGCCCCCATGAGCCCCCATGTAATTACCTGGCACATGGGAATTCTATGAGAAGGAGAACTCTGCAGGTGTTGTGACTGCGATTGTGCTAAGATCCACCACGACCCAGGGCTCAAGAAACTTCAGGAGCATCGTGGCATCCGCATGGATTGAAGCCACGGTGCAAAGAGCAGCTGCACAATCAGTTTCCTGAGTCCATGCTTATGCAGGCTTAGTCATGTCTAGTGGAACTAACTTGTTGACGCGGCCCATCGTCCCCATCAAACTCCACGCGCCGCCAAGCAATGCCAAGCAACTCTCCCTTCGACGCCGGCGAGAGGCCCCCAAAATGCCTAGGCACCGGCACCGAGTGGCACACTTCGACTCTTCGGCTCCGCTTTGACTTCGCTTTGACCGTAGTAGGGGACACTTTGTGGGCATTGGAGGGCCGAGAGGCATTGTAGCATCGTTGGGCGCCCCATAGGCCGAGCCAGCAAAGCCGCCAAATCGAGAGGCCTAATAGACTGCGTGACAAATCTCGAAGAAAGGCTCTGAGGACTAGATCAAACGGTCCACATCTTGCATCTCATGCTGCTTGCAAACGACAAGTGGTGTGGTGCTGCAGAAGACCAGTACGCGGCCCACCCGCGGTGCAATGCCTGCCGCAGATGCTCAAGCGAGCCCGTCGATTCCATTGGCTTCCACCATTTGAAGTTAGTGCGGTTAAGGTGCTGCAGCCCAAGTTTGGGAAGCAAGTGTTCCCACCAGAATCGCTTAGATAGACCAGCATCGTCACGTCGCCTGTTGCAACGTTGTGGACACGAGGAAGCTGCATATCGGCAGATCTTTAACAGCTCATCCACCACCCACTGGGATACTGCATATCTTTAAAACTGAAAAGGTTTGAAGCTAGCAGCTTACGCATGCTGCGGCTCATGCAGATGAGGAGCTGGTGTCAACATGCGGTACCTGCGATTCATCTGGCTGGTAGCGGACCACCTAAGACAATACATGGTCGGGCGGCTGGGCAGCTGCAGCTGCACGCTTCCGCACAAGCTGCAACAACAAAACGTAGACCCCAACAGTGTAAGACGTGTAAGACCACTTCAAAAGCATTTCAAGAGAACCCCGAGAGCACAACCGAACTTTGGGTCGATTTTCCAACGATAGGCGAGAGAGCGTCCCCAGGCCCACCGAGGAGACGCCGAGAAGGCCGAATCGATTTCGAGGCCCCGCTCCTTGCGCGATCCCTGCGCGAAGGGGTCAGCGACGTAATTCTCTCTTCCCCTCACAACGTAAGAACCTCTCAAAGTGCATCAACACTGCTTGAGGAATAAATGCATAAAGCTGCTGTCGTGTCTCGTAAAATCCTTAGGTGATGCAGCCGGGAAGTGCTTGACAGTTCCTATTTAATCTTGTTTACCTTCTGCAAATGCACTCCGGGAATGAGCTGATGCAGCGTATTGCAACATACCACAGATGCCGTCTTCTTGCCACCTTGGCTTCCAATTCGGCAGCTTTGTGCCGGCTGAAGAGGGCTCTGCCTCCGTGAAGGGAAGGCCTTCCACGGGAGCACCTTGGTTTCAACACGTCAGTCGCTGTCCATCAAGATTCATAGTGCAGTAACAGCAAAGACATGCCCCTGACACCTCTCTGTGTGTCTTGTTCGTGGGCAACACTGCCAAGGCACCGAGTACATCCATGACAAGGGGTGACAACTCTTCAAACATGACCTCACATTCAAGCCACGCCCACATACACGAAGCGATTCAAAGCACCCGATCCTCTGGTATCCGCCACCGCGCCGCTGACTTTGCGAAGCCGCTCCGTGCCAAGTCCTCCTCAGTCGACTACGACGTGACTACGAGTACGAAGCGAGTACCTATGGTGTGCTGTGGATTGTTGCTTCTCTCACTGTGTCGGCTGCTGGGGCTTGGGAAA